CTCTATAAGCCTTCTAAAGGCTATGCATGCCTTTTTGTTTTTGCTAAAAACAGGCTATTTTTTGCTCGTTTTGGGGAGAGCACCAGCTCCCAGGAGCACTCTATAAGCCTTCTAAAGGCTATGCATGCCTTTTTGTTTTTGCTAAAAACAGGCTATTTTTTGCTCGTTTTGGGGAGAGCACCAGCTCCCAGGAGCACTCTATAAGCCTTCTAAAGGCTATGCATGCCTTTTTGTTTTTGCTAAAAACAGGCTATTTTTTGCTCGTTTTGGGGAGAGCACCCCCCCCAGGAGCACTCTACAAGCCTCCTAAAGGCTATTCATGCCCCTTTTTTGGGGGGGGGAAGAGCATTTTCGGGAAAAACAGGCCATTTTGGGGATGTCTGCAGAGTGCAAAAACTTATTTTTTTAATTTGCCTCTTCAAAATCTTGGTGCGTCTTATACTCTGAAAAACACGGTACCCTTATCATCCAATATCCAACATCAGCCAAGGATCTGACCTCCCTTATACTACAGCTAGTCCTCGACGTATGGCCACAATTGAACCCAACATTTCTGCTCTTATGTGAGACATTTACGTGCATTTGGCCTCCTTTTTCTTGACTCGGTCGCTGAATGAATCACTGCGGTTGATTAGTAATACGGTTATTAACTGGAATTGGCTTCCCTGTTTACTTTGCTTGCCAGAAGTCGCAAAAGGGGATCCCAGGACCCAGAGGTTGCGGCGACCGTCATAAATATGAATGCCACCCATCGGAATTTTGATCACGCTAGCATCAGGATGCTGCATAGGTCGTAACTGTGAAAAACAGCCGTAAGTCACTTTTGTCAGGGCTGTTGTAACTTTGGTCACTAAATGAACTGTTGTAAGTCGAGGACTGCCTGCACTTGAAGGACCCTTAACAGGTAGAGAATTAGAGCCTACATTATGCTCAAGTGGAGGTTCTTATGGGATAATAACACGTATGAATGTGGAAAATCTTACAGAAGGGCCCATTTTCTAGTAGGTCGGCTACTACCAGAAACATGTACCGATTATGAATCATTTTTGGACAAACACAAAGGGAAAAAAGTTGCTTCTGTTTCACAGTTTAAAGTATAGAATAGAACAAGAGTTGGAAGGGACCTTGGAGGTCTTCTAGCCCAACCCCCTGCTTAGGCAGGAAACCCTACACCACTTCAGGCAAATGGCTATCCAACATCTTCTTAAAGACTTCCAGTGTTGGGGCATTCATGACTTCTGGAGGCAAGTTGTTGCAGGAGTTATGGATATTCCAATCCTGAAGGTTAATAAGAAGAGATAGGAGAACCATTTGTCTGAAATGGTAGAGGGTTTCCTGCCTAAGCAGGGGGTTGGACTAGGAGACCTCCAAGGTTTGATCTAGACACGGAAGAAGAAAAATTAAATATCTTCAAAGATCCCACATGATGTTCCGTCAATCTTCGTTTATTCCAACCAAAGGCAAAGGGGGTGCCAATCGTCACAACGGGACGCCTGAATTCCTTGGGATTTCCCCTCCTGGCTGAACAGTTTTTGGCTCGTCCAGATTTGTTGTTAGTTGTGAAGTCATGTCCGATCCATCACAACCCCATGGACAACGTTCCTCCAGGCCTTCCTGTCCTCTACCATCCTCTGGAGTCCATTGAAGCTCANCTAGGTGACTTTTGGACAATCACCAGGAGACTGGGAGTTCTAGTCCTGCCTTAGGCACGAAATCCAGTGGGTGACTTTGTGCCAATCACCAGGAGGCTGGGAATTCTAGTCCCGCCTTAGTCATGAAAGCCAGCTGGGTGACTTTGGATAAATCACCAGGAGACTGGGAGTTCTAGTCCCACCTTAGCCATGAAAGCCAGCTGGGTGACTTTGGGCCAGTCAGCCTCTTTCAGCCCAATCCACCTCACATGATTGTTGTTGTGGTGTGAAAAATAGGAGGAGTAAGGAGTATTGGATTTGTTCGCCACTCTATTTGTAAAAATAATAATAATAAAGGCGGCATAAAAACAAACAAAAACCCCTATAATTCCCAGCCAGCCGAGGACGACGGGAGCTGTGCTAATACATCTAGAGAGGATCAGTCTGCGGAATATAAAAGCATGTTAGCGAGCCAGCTTTTTTTTTAAATCCATCTCTTTGTTTCCTTGCTACAATAGGAATTAGCCCAACATTATATGCAGTAATGCTACTTGAATGGGCAAATAAAAGTTCCTGTAAAACATACCTAGGCGAGGCCAAAAAAAAGGGACTAAAAACGGTGCATCGAAGCACCCCAAAATACGAATGCAGTTGCGGTAAGCCAATATCCTCTCTCTTTAACCTGAAAATATCTCCCTTGCAAAAGATAACATGCAAAAACAGAACTCTATCACCGACCGACACCAATCTTAAGAGAGCGGGAGCAAACAGGAAGCAAATTAATGGAAATTTGCAAATAAAAACAGGGCAGCATCAGCTGCTGCTGTACCAGAGAGAAAGCAAAGCGTAACTCACTTGCGAAAGGATCCGGGAGACAAGAGGTTGGAGGGAATCAGGGAAGCTACGGGGGTGTAAGATTGGCACACACCAGTTTCCTTTGAGAAGGGAGGACAAGTGAGTCACGCAAGTTCCTGAGCCTTTAATATAGCGTTTCTCAACTTTGGCAGAAGTCTGGACTTCAACTCCCAGAATTCCCCAGCCAGAACGTTAGCTGGGGAATTCTGGGAATTGAAGTCCAAGGGTCTTAAAAGTTGCCTACGTTTAGAAACAGCTGTAGCTACGGTATTTTTCAGAGTATAAGACGCACCCTTTTCCCCTTCAACAAAATGGCCGTGCGTAGCATTTAGGAGGCTATCAGGATTTGATGTTAATAGAGGATTTTACAAANCATTGTTTGTCGATCTTGGCTGCTTGAAGAGGCGTGGACTTCAACTCCCAGAATTCCCCCAGCTGGCATGCCGACTGGGGAATTCTGGGAGTTGGAAGTCCACGCCTCTTCAAGCAGCCAAAGCTGAGAAAACTAACCTAGAGTATTATATGATCCCAGCTGGAGAACCGATCGCCATCACGAGACTAGATAATCTTCCAAGTTCCATGCCCACCTCTGCCTTTTACAATTCTTGGGGTCGCAAATAACTCTTGAGCTTGATCAGGGGGGGGGGCAGGAGAGATCCTTCCATTTCCATCTCCGGCACGATTCAATAAAACTATAGCTAGTCCTCAATTTACGACTGTTAACGGAGCCTGCTTATCACCTGTCGCAAGTTGAGGACTATCTGTATGCATTATAATGTTCTTTCTTCCATGCTTTTCCCCCAACCTAATTCCTCCGACCCACTTTATCCTCTTAATCTTCTTAAAGGCCCCGTTTGTTCTGCTAATTTCCCCACTTACAGGTTCAATGTCATTTTCAAAATCCTCATCTTCCGCACCAATGATGGACATAGCCACGCCCCCCTGAGCTCCCAGGGCTGAACTCTGGAGGAAAACAAAAATACCAGAAATTCCCCAAGGTCATTTAGGCCGGGAGTCACCAACCCACCCACTCCCAAGCCATGGCCCAAGCCAGGCCATGTATGTATGTATTTTGTATGTCTGTCTGTCTGTCTGTCTGTCTACCTATCTATCTAATCTACCTAGCTACCAGTGGTGGGATTCAAATAATTTCACAACCGGTTCTCTGCCCTAATGATTTCTTCCAGCAATCAGTTCATCAAACTGCTCAGAAAGTTAAGAACCGGTTCTCCCGAAGTGGTGCGAACTGGCTGAATCCCACCACTGCTAGTTACCTACCTGCAATCTGTCTGTCTGTCAGTTTGCCTGTCATCTGTCACTTATCTGCCTGCCTACCTTCCTATTTATTTCTCATCTACTTGTCATCTATCTGCCTGTCATCCATCCATCTACCAGTATTAATCTACCTATCATCCATCTATCTGTGTCTGTCTGTCTGTCATCTATCTGCCTGCCTGCCTACCTTCCTGTCTATCATCTACCTGTCATCCATCCATCCATCCGTCATCCATCTATCTGTTTCTACCATCTGTCTCTGTCTCTCTATCTGCCATCAATCTATATCCACCCATCCATCCATCCATCCCAATGCCCTTCCATCCTACTTGCAAGCACACCCCAGCCAGTTACTTACCCCATTGTAACCCTCCTCTAACTCCATTCTGCCCCCTTGGGGGGGAGGGAGGGCCCCCAGCACCTGAGTCAGGGTGTCCAAATAGCCTGGATCAGCATACACCTAGAGGCACAGAAATAGTATTATAATTATCAAACACAAAACAGCGTGACATCACGCATTCCTGCTTGTTAGCTGGCATTGGCCTTCATTTGCATCAAGTCCTTCCCAAGAATTTAGGATGTCATAGGGTTTTTTTTTACGTATTATTATCATTATCATTATGATTTGTTGCAGCCAGCCAGATGATTAGATTGGATTTCCCACTATTGAATCCTTTCAAAAGTCCTGTGACAGGCAGATGTGGATAAATGGACAGCCTCTATCACCAATGCGCGACCCCAGAATTGTAAATCAGGGGTAAATCAAGCAGAATTCCCAAATCTGGCAACTTTAAGACTTGTGGACGTCCTAAACACTGCTCTAGTTGTCTCAAATTGTAGAGGGTCTCCTGCTTGAGCAGGGAGTTGGACTAGAAGACCTCCAAGGTTTCTTCCAGCTCTAGTCTGATTGATTGATTGAAATAGGAATGAAGGGTATTGGAGTTGTGGCTAAAACTTAGAGCTTAGTAATTTTAAGATGGGTAGATTCCAAATCTATCTGAATTCCCCAGCCAGCACGTGTGGAGACCGCCTACTGCCAATTACCTCCACTAGACCGATACGATCGCATCGATTAGGCCTCCTCCGAATTCCATCTTCT